TATATATAGAGAGAGAGCTTAAAGCAGGGGGTTGGCACATGGTCAGTCATGATGCGCAGCCATGTGATGGGTAGAGTGCCACCCTGCCCACTGCCTCTCAGGCGTCAGATCAGAGCGACAATGTTAGGGCAGAGCTGAGGGAAGTCCTAGGCTCCTTCACTGCTCCAACGTGTCATATGACACAGCCAAGGGGAGACCTACTACTGCTACTGACCTTTGCATGGCTTTACTTACTACAGACCCCCGCACTAGGCTTTACTTACTACAGACCCCCGCACTAGGCTTTACTTACTACAGACCCCCGCACTAGGCTTTACTTACTACAGACCCCCGCACTAGGCTTTACTTACTACAGACCCCCGCACTAGGCTTTACTTACTACAGACCCCCGCACTAGGCTTTACTTACTACAGACCCCCGCACTAGGCTTTACTTACTACAGACCCCCACACTAGGCTTTACTTACTACAGACCCCTGCACAGTGCGTTACCACATACCCCCACACTAGGCTTTACTTACTACAGACCCCGGCACAGTGCGTTACTTACTACAGACCCCCGCACAGTGCGTTACTTACTACAGACCCCCGCACAGTGCGTTACTTACTACAGACACCCGCACTAGGCTTTACTTAATACAGACCCCCGCACAGTGCGTTACTTACTACAGACCCCCACACTAGGCTTTACTTACTAAAGACCCCCGCACAGTGCGTTACTACATACCCCCGCACAGTGCGTTACTTACTACAGACCCCCGCACTAGGCTTTACTTACTACAGACCCCCACACTAGGCTTTACTTACTAAAGACCCCCGCACAGTGCGTTACTACATACCCCCGCACAGTGCGTTAGTTACTACATACCCCCGCACAGTGCGTTACTTACTACAGACCCCCGCACAGTGCGTTACTTACTACAGACCCCCGCACTAGGCTTTACTTACTACAGACCCCCGCACAGTGCGTTACTTACTACAGACCCCCGCACAGTGCATTACTTACTACAGACCCCTGCACTCTGCATTATTACTGACCTCTGACTCCTGCACCCTGCTTTACTTATTACCGACTCCTAAACTCTGTGTTTTCTTACTCATAACCCCTGCACTCTACATTACTGATCATAATTGAGAAAGAACTATTTATTCCATCCCCTATATCATATATAAACTAGATACACAGAACTGGCCCCAGGACCCAAGCCGGAGGTATGCAGCAGGGAGGAGAGCTCAGCCTCCTGTGACACCGCTGACATCTGACTCCTCCCCCGCACCACTGGCTCAGCCTCCTGTGACAGCAGTCTCCTCCCTGCTCTCTATCCTGATTTGCTTGTCACAGAGATAAGGCGGAGAGGAGAGCGTTGTCAGCGGTGTCACAGGAGGCCGACCTCTCTTCCTGCACGGGCCCGCACGTCCTCCTGTGACACAGCTGACAGCGCTCTCCTTTCCGCCTTATCTCAAGGAGTGTTATCTTCATACAGAGATCACTACAAAACACCGCCCCTACATTACGAAGAGGAGGTGTTCTGTAGTCTTATTCTAGAGAGACAACACTGCTTCTTCATAGATACAGTACAGTAAGTAAGCGTTGTCACCCTAGGAGAGAAAGTGTGTTACTGGCAGGATCACCAGGTGAAAAGTGTGGGAAATAAAACTAATGCAGCCACCACTCCTAAGGCCTTTTTAAGACACAATATCACAGGAAGATAATGGACGGGTATGAGAAGACTGTGCAAGCATCACAATTTCCTCAACAGTGACAGGAACCAATATGCTACACCCAGTAAGAACTTCTCCTTTCCTCACCCATAAACATCTAGACATGCAAATGAGCAATGTAAGCTCGACGGTGTCACACACTACATGAAATTAAAGATATATATCTATAT